AAAGAGAAAAAGAAACTTTAAAAAAAATTATCTCCATAGAAAACTCTAAGCCTAGATGTTTTATGAATATATTCTTTCAGAATTTTAAGAAATAAGTGATTCCCACTTATTTTTTTCACCTGATGAACTCAAATGTTTATTTTTATTGATTATACTAAGATGAAATCATTGTCCTCTTTTTTTATTTAAGTATAGTTGATTTACATTGTTTGATTAATTTCTGATATACAGCAAAGTGATTCAGTTATCTGGCAACAAATACATATCTGTCAATAATTACCTTAAATGTCAATGGACCAGATGCTCCAATCAAAAGACAGAGTGGCAGATAGGATTAAAAAAAAACAACCAAGAGCCTACAATATGTTGCCTTCAAGAGACCCACTTCAGGCAAAGGACACAAAAAGAATATAAAAAAAGATTCCCACTTATTAATAAGATGTTGTCTATTCAATAGTTTTACATAGCCTTCCTCCACAAAAAAGGAGGAAAAGCTTTCCAATTCCATGAACTCTGGCACTAAAATTTAACAAAGATAGTACAAATAAAGAAAAACACAAACTAATCTCATTTACAAATACAGGTGCAAAAATAACTGTAAGGTAAGCAAATAAAATTATGCAGTACATTAAAACAAGACTACACCATGACTAATTAGGGTTTATTTCATCAGTAAATTTGAAAAACAAAAACCAATAAGACACGCCATAAACTAAAATGCAATTTCTCATAGAAACTCCTAATAAAGTGGACTAGCATGATTTTTAATGATAAAAATCATTAAATCAACAGTCAGTATAATACTTATAGTAAAATATTAAAGACAATTCCATAAATTAAAAACTAAATAAAAATATCTGCTATCACCTGTATTATTTAATATTATTCTTGATATTCTAGGTAGCGTATTAAAAGAAGGGGTGAAAAAAAGGAACAAATAACTGCTAAAAAAGAGGAGAAAACATATCAGCTGAAATATGACTAGAGCTAATAAGTCTGACAAAAAGGGAAGTTATAAAATGAATCAGCAAAATTTACTAACACCCCCAAATATAGTAACAAAAATATAGTAGTATGAAAAATATCTCATTCATAAGAGCAAGTAAAAATATTAAATATTATAAAGGAAACATCAAAGGAAAGGTGCAGAATCTGTATATAAAAAACAAAACATTGTTGAGGGACAGAAAAGAATTGAGTAAGTTATTTGGAATGGAAAGATTCAATGCTAAAAAGATTTGTTATCCCATAGTTTTATAATCTTTTTTAAAAAATCACTTTGCAATTTTAATTAACAACATATAAATCTAAGATAAACTTTAGAGAAGTATACAAACACCTTAAAGAATAATTATGAATGAGGTCTTGCAATACTTTTCAAAGATACTATAAAGCTACAGTGATTAATATAACCTAGCACTGTAAAAGTCTAGGTAGAAAGATAAATGGAATAGAGCCAAAAACTGAGAAATGGCTCCAAATATGTAATCAGTATGTAATAAAAGATGTTATTTCAAGTCAGATGGGATACGATGGGTTACTTAATAAATGATACAGAGATATTTGGTTAACTTGAGAAAAAAATTAAGTTATATCTCTGGTTGAAATTATACTCAAAATATATTCAAGATGAATCAAAGACTTAAGTGTATAAAAAAATAGTCAAAGAACTGGAAGAAAATATAGTAGAATATTATATAATTTTAGACTGGGAGAAGCCTTTCTAAACAAACCCCAAACAGAAAAAAAAAGAAAAAAAAAAGAGCATTACAAAAGGGAGGCAAAGATTTAACAACAAAACCATAAAGTAAAGAAAATGACAAAATATACATATATGACAAATAAAGGCTAATACCATTAAAATATACAATAAGAGCCTTAAAAACCATAAAAACTAGACAAATCCTTTAAAGGAAAAATGGGCAAACAACATAAACAGACAATTCACAAAGGAAGAGACATTTAATACAAATAAATTCATGTAAAACTCTTCATTCTCAATAAAAATCCAAAGAATTCAAATTAAGTCAGCAATAATATGTTATATTCCCTTATCAAACTGGCAAGAAATGTTTAAAATAATAATACTTGCTACTGAGGGCAAGGGAATACTCGCAGATACTGCTGGTGAGAGCACAGAACACTATACCTGAAGGGCAATGTGAATCAAAAGCCTTTTTTAAAAAGAACACCTTCTTTGACCCAGTAATTTCACTTTTTAGAAATATATCGTAAGAAGATAACCACTAATTGACATGGAAAAGTATTAAAAAGTTACCCATGTTCAAGGTTTTCTTTATAATGACAAACAATAAAAACAACTTAAATATTGAATAAAAGACTCAGTTAAATTATAAGAACCTCACTTTATGCAATATTTTCTGCAAATAAGAATAATAGTTTAGAAGATGACCTAATCAGGGAAATTCACAATATATCATTAAGTGGGAAAAATAGATTACAAATGAATAGTAAAAGGATGATTCCAATTTTAAGGGAAAAATTTTTTATGCATAAATTAAAATGGAAAGGATATATACTATAATACAGGTAGAATGAAAAGGCAATTATATTTTCCTTTGGGTGTGTTTATATACTTTTTACAATAAATGTATATGAATTTTGTAATGAGGGAAAAATAATGAGATATATAAATACACACGCTTGAGATATACTGAATCCTGATAACCCACTGTAGTATGTTTTTCTTTTCTTTTCTTTTAATTTATTTTTTGGCCGCACTGCACGGCATGCAGCATCTTAGTTCCCCGACCAGGGATTGCACCGGTGCCCCCTGCAGTGGAAATGTGGAGCCCTAACCACTGGACCACCAGGGAATTCCCCTAGTACGTTTTTCTTGGAGATAGTATTTAGATTACCCTAAAATTTCAGAATAATTATAACTAATTTTGGTGGCTAATAACTGATCTGATCTTGCCTACAACAAAAATGTATGTTGAGTTTCAGCAGTGGCTGAATCAAACTATTTGAACACTACTTTAATTTTTTTTCAATTTTTTATATTATTGGTATACTTTGTGTATAATGTTTATGGTGACAAGATATTAAGATGTAAAAAGAGACACTTACATAGAGTAAATCAAGATGAAAAATTTAGTAAGAATCTTATCTTCTATGTCCATAAAACTGAGGGTAGTACACAAATGAAAGTTTACATTTCACATACAGAATCCAGAAAAGAAAAAGTTAAAGAATTTGAAAAGCCTAATTTTGCATGTTTCACTTTTGAGATTTATATATTTTGATTATATAAAACTAGTACAGTTTTTGCATTTTTAGAATCAAAAATAAAGATAGAAAGTGGGAGGGGGAAAGATAACCCAAAGCATAAAAACTTGATGCTGAATCATAACATAATAAAATGTTAGCTTCCACATTACTGAGAGAAAGCAAGACCCCCATCATTCACGCTGGCAAAAGCTTGCCTTTGCATAAACCATTTCTGTTCTCACTGTCATAAAACCAATGACTTTGGAAAGGGAAGAAAACACAGAATGACGTGCAAAGTAGCACACACCATGTTATTGCAGCTGGATAAAGAATATGTCACTAATGACTTTCTTTCTACCCGTCAGTTTTAAGTTGAGTTTCTTTTTTTTTTTCCAAAATAGCAAATGGCCTTTATGAGTACAAAACAGAAGCAGTGAAATTCAAAATAATATCCAATTTCCACTTGATTTTGATACTGCATTAGTTAATAGAATGAGTTATTAATTATTTCTTGGAAAAGATATGACTCCCTTTTCTCTTCATTTGAGTTGAACATAACATGCCTGAACACTAAGCAGTTTTCTGTAATAAATTCAAAATAAAATTTTCATCAGATAGTTATCGTGAAATGTTCATCTTAAATGAGGAATTATCCATGGGAATATTCACCTGAAGTCATTTGATAAATTCAGAAAACTAATGTAATTAAGTTCCCAAGTTGTCAGGTCAAGTCAGAGTGATGACTGTCTGTAAGGGACAACTGAAAAAATTAATTAATGACAATGGATTCTATTCATGATACCAAAAGCTAGTGATACAGCACTTCATCTCCACAAAGGAATCAACAAGAGAGAATTGGGCAAAAAGTATAGCTTCTTAACTGATAGGGCAGCTTAATTCTGTAATGGATTGGGACTGCCGACTTCTTAACATGTTTCAAAATAATAACGTCAATCACTTATCTTTAAAAATAAGGATGCTCATTCTCATCCGGGTTGGAGATCATGAAATGTTAAGTCCGGTGAAATCTGATTGAGATTAATCAACCTACAATCCTATGGGCAGTTAATAACAACCACAGCTTTCCCTCATGAGGACTTTCTTAAGTGCCAGGCAGTTTTAAAAGCTTTACATATACTAATTCTCTTAATGAGCCTATGAAGTAGGTATTTTTATTATCCTCAGTTTAGATACAAGGAATTCAAAACATAGAAAGCTTCAGTGACTTGCCCAAAATCACTCATCTAGTAAGTGACAGAGCCAGGATTTGAACAGGTAAACAGGCCTCAGAATCCAGCCATAAACCATAAACAGCACATTCTATAAAATCCTTTTTGACAGTTACTACAGCTGACCCTTTTTGATCAGAAGAAATTCAAATCAGTGATTTGGATTCATCAATTAAGCTATTATTATGATTTCAAAAGGAAGGATTAAAATTATCTTTAACTTAATTTGTTTATCTTTAACTTAATTTGTTCATCTTTGACATAACCTTTTATCTTTTTCATACTTTTTGTTCAGTAAACTAATGAAGTAGTTTATCCTATAAGTTATATGTTTATAGACTAAAAAAGAAAGGGCAAAACTTTCGTTCTATAAACATCACAAAAGAATAAAGTTCAGGAACACACTATACATTTACCCTCTCAGATATAAACAAATATTAGAGGTAAGAATTTAATGTTAGGGCACAGAAGATAAGCAAATGTGTTGTGGAACAAAATAATATTTCTACATTGATATGTTTGATATTCTGTATATTGTACCTTTAATTTCTCCGAGAAGTTCACTGGTATTTAATCTTTCCATTTTTTCCTTCCAATCTTTCGAAAGTAGTTTTTCCATGCAGGAGGAATCTATTAAAATAAAAAAGTAAGTATTAAAACTATTATACATGTATTTGATTAGTATTAAAATATTACAAATACAGAAGGCTGTGGAGTTTATGGAGAAATTCTGTTATTCAAAAATAAATGATTAAAGCTATTTTTTGTTGTTGCTGTTTTAACCCTAGGATACAGGCAATTATATTCCGTTATCTACTACAAAATACCATAACTAAAATTTTTTTGGCTGGAAGATTATTTAAACTATTCCCACGAAAAAGAAAGATAATGCTCAATAATCTTATCTTGGTATTATAACTATAGTTAATTAATATTCAGCCAGCATTTATCACTTCTTAGACCAATTGGACAGAACAAGGGGCTTTTTCATACAAGCTTAAGTTTAGATATTATTCCTTTCAAACCAGGTGATGTTTTTTAAGTCCAAGCAAAATTCATGTGCTATTCAAGGAAGAATGATAAATCTTCAAAGGAGAAGAGACCAATCGACCTGTAACTACTTAGTCCTTAAAAAAGAAATAAACATACGGCAACTTTTGTAAAATACCCATTTAGAGTAAAATGCAAAGAAAATAAAGTCATGATGTCCTCTGTCCCCCAGTAATGAAAACAGTTAAAACTTTTCTCTTATATAAAAAGAGACGCATGATCTTTTCAAGAAAATCCTTATTTAAACGCTGCTTGACCTATTGCATTTCTAAATAGCATTTCTAAATAGCATACTAGATTACACTTGTTTCTATTAAGATTCATAAAGTTTACAGAAGTTTAAATTTTAGAATGTTCTAATAATTAGCAAATTTTTATCAATGAGTTATTTTTTTCTCTCTGTTCAGATGGATTTGCAACTGGAGCTACTGCTTACAACTATTTACGTGTATCTTTTAAGCCTCAAATCTTAACAAACAGGCCATGTTTCCAAAAGGGAAAGCAGATTTAAATACTCAATCCTCAGTGCAAAGAATACTCCCGTTAAACTTTAACATTCCAAGTGTCAAAATTCTGATAACTCCTTTTTAAAATTATATTTAAAATAATTACTTCAATTCCAAATGCCTTTTCTCTCCCATATCAGTACCTATCTCTTTAGCATTTTCCCTTTCATTTTTTCTCCAACTTCTAAATCCTCCTTGAATTTTTCAGAATGACAGTAAGGTCAAGATGGATCTGAAGGGTTTTAGAAACTAGATAAGCTTTAAAAAGAAGACAGTGAGCCCCGGGTAAGAGATGAGGGGACCACTGCATGGTTAGAAAGTATTGGTGAAAACAATTAACGTTTGTTCGTGACATGATCAATCAATCAAGGAATGGATAGAATCCAGATCAGTATGTTGGGAAATCGCTGATGAAGAACAACCATATTAGCTCTCTATCACAGAAGCTAAAGTTCTTTCTAAATAGAAGTCAGCTTGATTCTATTAAGTGAAAGCTCCCTGCTCCTTCCCTTACTTCTTCCCTTCTTTCCTTTCCTCCTTCTTTCCTTCCAGTCTTTCCTATTAATTATTTTCGTAGGCTTCAACAAGTGACCTACCACTGTGATTAAAAACTGGATTCTGAGTGACCTGCTAATAGGGCCTATATGCATATGCGTATGTTCAGTTTGTATTTAATTTTCAAAACGTTCTCTTGTTACTTCTATTTTAAATTCAGAAACAAGGTGTATACTTCGTTCCACACATATTTTGTTTTTATGCTAAAGTCATAGAAAAGATAATACTAATTTGAGAGTTAAGGAGCAAAATCTTCAAAGCCATGCCTATCAGAGATTACTTTTTCTCAAATCAGGTCTAAATTTCTGGATATAACATTAGACCATGTATAAGAATAATCAACAAAATGTCTTCAACTTCCTACCTTACTCAGTTTTGTTACTTTTTTTTAACCTTTTCATACATGTTATAACATTGTACTAAACTGATAATCACTGATATGAACGCTAAAGCATAACTTGTTTGGTTAAAATTTGAGTTGAGTGCACATATTATAATGGTCAAGACAAAAATCCCAATTGACTAGTAATGATCCAAAATTCACAGCAAGTTCATAAACTAGGATTAGATACACACTAAATGTAAAACAGGCTAAAATATGTCTCTCATTTCTATTAATAGACCTGAAATCTTTTAGAGCTCCAGAAAAAGAATGCTGAAACTTCATGGGAGAAAAACAGAACTATATGGACAACAAGAATATACACTTCAAACATTTATCAAATAAGTTTGAAGACACAGCTTTACATAAAAGCTAATCATTAATAAAATGGTTAATAAATTCAAAACATTTCACATTCCTATTAGAAAATTAATTCTCACCATAATGCTGAGTTAATCTAGCTATATGAGTTCCCATTTCAGTAGAAGACACTGAGGGGAAAAACATAAAGCAGGCTTTGCAAGTCTATATTTATAGCCCATGAAAATATTTAGTAACAATCACTGATTGCCTTTATCTACAGGACAATAAATGTCACTACATACAACTTTATCAGCATTTAATCTCAATTCTGGGAGATTCCAGGAATATTCAAAACTGTGAGAAGGTCTCTTGAAAAACTGAGCTTTTTCACCTAATTATCTGTCTGCCAGACCTCTAAGGGCATACATACCACAATTAGTACTAAACACAACCCACACTGTAATGTGAAACAAGTAAGGTGAGGGAAAAAGACCAGAAGATGCAGTACCACAAGATGTACTAAAATGCTACATATGCAGAGGATACTACTGCCTCTACCAAGACGTTTCTGACTTGAAATGAGGAAATATATGCTAAAGTTAAAAGTGAAATTTTATATTTTCAAATTTCCCACTCAAAACAATATCCAGGTAAGGGTAAAAATGAACGGTATTCATCCTCCTGTGCCACATACGTCAACTACATTAACAGAACACTAGCTTTACAGAGGCGATTCATCATATCAGACTTTGCCCCTTTCTGATCATGCACAAATGCAAAAATCAAAGAGGTCAAGATAAGTAAAGAAGTCCAGTTTGCCTTATGTCCACGCAAAGAGTAAGCCCATGTTTCAATTCAGTACTTATGCAGGATTCCAAATGGAAAAAAAGAACTAAACGTCACCCGGATATTCTTGGATAACTCTACACAGATAAATATGCCACAGTCCTCAAAACAATGAAAAGATATACAGTATATTTTATTATCTGAGTTTGACTACTCAAATTTTAGTATTTTGACTGAGTTGTTTTCAGCTAAACAGGAAGAAACTACATACCTTTTGGAAATTATAGTATCACAATATTACAGTATGTGTCACGGTAATATGTAGATATTAAAAATGAATGTAAGCCATAACACTTCAGTATAAAGTGGAAAATGCCAAAATTAATTCCTCTTACTTTGAAAGAATTAGTGTCCATAAACCAATACATATTCAATGAAATATGAGGGTTTATTATATTTATCTTGTCTAATTTTTGTAAATAGTGTGATAAAAACAGGACTGAAAAATTGAGTTGCACTTCAATTCTTGCTTATTTTTAATCAAGGATGTAAAGGGTTCTGATATGTTATAAATTAATTCTCAATTGCATAGCTTTTGTTTTTCCTTTTCCTCTGCAAATTTAAGTTTTTCTATTTCAATAACCTTTTTCTAAGGAAAAAAGGAAAGATATCATAATGGATTGCAAAGCAATGTTTCTGCTTCCTAAATACCTAGGTTTCCTAAATACCTAGGTTTCAGGCCAGGTAAGTCAGGAATGCTTTATCGTGCTAATAATTAATTTTTACAGTACAAGGGAAATTTGAAGTGAGAGTATGTGAGATATTTATTTCCTAATCTATATGATGATATTTTAGGAACAATTGAAAATTATTCCTAGTTAAACAAAGCTGCAGCAGTGTTAACTACTATTCTGAGCAAAATAAAGGGTCAAAGAGAGTAAATAAAGAAATCATCATTAAAATTAAATCATGGGGGAATGGGAAAGGATAATGGGAAAAATTTTTTATCGTACTTTAAAACAATTTACCTGTGAGTAAACACTTATCATTATTCCCCTTACCTCAAAGTGATAAAGTTAGAAATGCTGAAACATTAGAAACATGACATAGAAAATAACTTTAAAATACCTTAGTGAGAAACAACGACTGCTCCCCCTGTATACAGATCCTACTGTTTTATTAACTTTTTTAAGAAAATATTAAAGCAACCCCTTTTATTTTTACCACAGGAATCATAAATTTCAGAAGCAATAAATTTTTTATGTATCCAAACAATGATAACTTATTAAAAGTATCCTTGACCTTGGTTTACAACTAATTCTGACAATATATATTTATATCCCTGCTGATCATCAATCTCACATTTTTCATTAGGAAACAGAGATGCACATGCCAGTTACTGTACATTTTTCCACAGTGACGAGTGCTCCACAATACAGTGGGATAAAATTGGAGCTTGGAGAGCTTGAAGAGCACTCTTAAATTTTAATTAAAACCCTCCAAGCTCACTAAAAATAATTAGACACAAAAATGTGCCAGTTTTATTTTGAAGTCACTATAACGTACAAAGCACACTCCCTGACGACTGCTCATGCTCTCATTCTCTCTCTCTCTCCCTCTCTCCAATGAAACAACTGATTTTCCAAATACGAACAAGGCGGTATAAATAGAGGCTGTTTTCAATCCTGCTCTTCATGCTGGGAAGCTGACAGAAAAGACAGTAGAGTGGGTTTTTCAGACCACACCAAATGAACCTAGAATAACTTGCCTAACCAAGAGTTCGAATCACTGACAAACTCTAGATAAAATTCAGTCTTCAAGGAACACCACGGGTTATATCACTGATCTTTTTTGATCCAAAAGCCAAACCTTTAACCTCTTAAATGTTTTTGCTTTCTTAAAATATCTCATACAATGCTATATTCCATCCTATTTTTAGCTAAGCAGCAAGAGAAAGCATGCCTTTCCCATACAGCAGGGCAATGATATAAACATCAACACAGATGCTCTGCCAGGAAGAGCTGGACTTCTCAAGCACTTGATCATTA